ACGTAGCTGTTATCGCCGCAGTAAGTGACACTGGCATGTCGAGTTCAAATTCCAGTCGAAATCATAGATGACGCTTTCATGTAGATTGCCACCATCAATATGCTGAATGAAGCCGGCTACCCAGTGTGTCAAGAAACATCGTACGCCATCGATTTAGAATGTAAATTTTACCATCACCCCAACATAAGTGTTTTTCTCTAGGTCTCTCTTCATTTGGATTTCTAAAGGAACATCAATTATGATACGCATTCCATTCCTCTGCCCGTCAGCCACTCTATCCGTCTTGTGAGTATCAGATTTTCCAAGCCCTCCTTCCTCATATGTACCCCAGATATTTCAACTGCCTCATCCTGATGTTAAATATAAGTTTCCTATTTATTTCCATTATCTCCAAAACCTCATCGTTGCTCACATATTCGGCCACTGGTATTGTCAACATCTTTCTGTAGAACTACATTTTGGTTGCTTCAAATTTCTTTATAATCTTTGAGGAGATTGTCCAGCCTTTGCTGTCATACAGGGGAACGCATGTCACATCACAGTGCAGTACTCTTTTCTTTGTTTCCAGCGAATTCCAGTCTTTTAATACACTGCTTATTATTTAGAATGCATCTTTGGTCATCCCAATACATCTTCGGATCTCAGTGTCACACATAACGTCCTCTGTTAGAACATATTTTTTTCTTTTAAGGCAATTCACCCCAAGCAAGGTGGGAGTGTCACTAGCACGTAAGGGGTTACAAAGGATTTAGAACAAGAGTAAAGAGGAAAAGTGTTTGAGGAAAGGATACAGAGAAGGACGGAAGACAAGCTCAAAGTTTCAGATGTCGATTGACATTACACTTGAATATTTCAAGATTATAGTCATCGGGGAAGAGAAGAAGAAGAAGAAGAAGAAGAAGAAGAAGAAGAAGAAGAAGAAGAAGTGGTGAAAGGGTGGGATGAGATGACATTATTTATTTGATTTTAGTATTCTCGACCTGTATTTTGGGCTCATCGCTTTTACTGATAACCATGTATGTGTTCTTGTAATTTATGCTTACTCCCTTCTCGCTTTTCATCGCTGTAGGAGATTTTGTAGTTTACTTACCGTACCTACTACTCTCAGCAATGTGTCATCTTCATATCTAATATTGTTAAGATTCTGACCGCCAATAATGAATCCTGGTAGGAGTTCTAATTCTCTCAATATTGTCATGCTGTATAGGTTGAATAAATGTGAAAAGACACATCGTTGTCTTTCACTCCTTTCTAATTTTGTATATCTCCAGAACTAATTTTCTGTCCGTATGCAGGCGGTTTGCTGGTAGTATAGATTCGTGATTATTTTAGCATCTTTCCAGATAATGTGAAGATTTCTGAGCAGTTCTAAGAGATCTTTGTGGCGTAATTTGTCGAACGCATTTGCGTAGTCTATAAAACACAGGTACACGTCCTTCTGATTTGTATTGTTCTTTCTGATAACATTCTGAGAATAAATATCGCGTTCCTTGTTTCGGTGTCTTTGACGAACCCGCACTGTTTTTGTCCTATCTTTGGTCCATTCTGCTGCGAGCTCAATTCATCAGAATTCGGATGGTGAGTTTTGTTATACGGCTCGTTAGGTTGATTTTCCGGTGGAGTTCTCATTCGTTTGGCCTATCTTCTTAGGCAGTTTCTCTGAAAATTGATCTTAGTCTTCCAATATATCACCACTGTTATAGATTTCATTTATTATTTCTGTGATCTTGTCTATGTCGAAATCGTTTAAGGCTGCCAGAAAAATTGTAAAATTCCGTCTGGCCCTGCCTCTTTCTTTCTGTTCAATTTGGCCAGTGCAACTTCTACTTCAGTTTTAATATTTCTGGTCTGTCGGTATTTCTCTGCATTGCTGGTTGTTCTCTTTCGTGGTGAAAAAGTTCTCCGATATATGTGTTCCATATCTGAAGTATTTTATTCTTTCTCTAATATCAACGTTCCGTCCTTGGATTTTATGCATCCTCATGATGAGCATGTCTTTTGTCCTCTTAGTTCACTTATTTGTTATGCATATCTGATTTACCTGTGATATTCGTTCTTTCACATTTTCGTTCTTCTTTAGACTGTCTGCATTTGTTCCTTATTTCTTTGCGAATCTTTTTTGTATTCCGTTCCGTGTTTTGGCATTGTTGTCTATCAGCTTTGCATGATGTCAAGAATCCCCTTTGTCATCCATTCGTTTTTTTTTTTTTTTTTTTTTTTTTTTTTTGTTTTTTTTGTCCATTTCTTCTGGGATGATCACGTTTGCTGATGTCACTAAAGCTTGTCTTATTATATCCCACTTCGACTTTCTATTTCCATTTTGTCCTTTGTATCTTCTTTTCGCGCTGTCCATATATGCTTCCTTCAGGTTTGCGTCGTTCGGGAGTCTGTTGTATTGCAGTTTGGGTGCTGCTTTAGGCTTCTTCAGTTTCCCTAGTTTCATTCTTAGTTTACATATAATAAGGATGTGGTCGCTTCCGTAGTCGTCACTTAGATAGGTTTTGCAGTGTAGTGCTAGCTTTTATGCTCAGTTTTTTTGACGCAAAATACTTTTTTTATGGAAGAGTTTAAAAATCATGCATTTTCGATGACCGGTTACACTACGCAGAAGGTCACGTTTTTTTTTTCTGAAAGAGATAAACTTAATGCATTTTCGGTGAGTGTAAAAAACCTCCTTGGGCTACATTCTCACGGTATCTTTCGCTAATGCTAACAGCACAGGTAAGACACTATAACCTGTCTCGTTGACTACATTATTTTTTTCTGTTGCGAAAAACACAGCAGAATTTCATTCACAATGTATGCCGTTTAAAATCAACAAATATCAAAGGCAAATTAACAATGCTTGCTTTCCTTTCTTCAGTTTGTGTTCATCTTCGTACTAACCTCGTTGAAGTCCAGGGTAAAGGAGTTACTATAGGCAAGTATGAACGAAAACAAGAATATGGTTACTAAAACATCGTATCAGATATTTTATGGTAAGTGATTTTCTCACCATTTCTGGTTAGCTTTGTGCAAGAAATATGTAAGAAGAGTATCTATTTGCTATAAAATATCTCCAGGATGATACTCAGTATTGCAATATTTGACTACACAAGCTTTACGAGTATTGTTCAGGAGCTAGCGTCGAATTATACAAGCGCTATATGAAAATATCAGGTTTTTCATTTAAAAAAATACATAGGTCGGTTGTACATATTGTAAGCTTACACACACACACACACACATATATATATAATCCAGAGGTCGTTTGTCACATTGTAACAGAATTTAGGAAAATATGACATGCTGGAAAATCTTGTTATATTTCTCTCTCTCCCCTCTCTCTCTCTCTTTCTCTTTCTCTTTCTCTTTCTCTCTCTCTCTCTCTATATATATATATATATATATATATATATCCTAGTATTCAAAAATTATAAATATGTTATAATATCACTACAAAAATAGCAATTTTGTTTCAACACTTCTGGTGTCTTATCAATTGATGTTGTTGACTGAGAAATAAAGATTTATTTTCGAAAATTTAAAAACGAAATGAAACCCCACCAATACGTAACTCGGATGACCAATCAGAATACAGGTATATGAAAATTTAAAAAAATGATGGCGGTAGTTTCTAAATACAACCCGTTAGTTGATTGAAATTAATGATAGATCAAACGAAAAATTAATATGAAATAATTAACTTATAATTTACGATAAAATAAAAAAAATTAAAATTAAAAATTTTATATTTCAATTTAAATCGAGCATTAGGAGTATAATTTTATAATGTTATTAAAAAATGGAACAGAGTATTATATATATATATATATATATATATATATATATATATATATATATATATATATATATATATATATATATATAGTGATGGCGTGTGTGTGTATATATTATATTATATTATTCTTATTTAAAGACCAATATATCCTGTAAAATCAACGCTGATTTGAAAAGTATACAGGAACGCTATAGATCTCAAACAACATTACGTCGGCTAATTGCACGACGAACACATTCGAATCATATATGCACGCAAATATAAGATTGACAAATGGAAAGTCAATAGAAGAAGATAATGAGGGAAAAAAAAAAAGAAGAAAAAACAAAAAAGGGAAAAAAGAAAAAATATATATTTGCAAGTACAAGGTTGTTACATAGGGAATAAAATTCGAATAACCAAAAACACAGTTCTTAAAAGAGGGCTCAATACTAAATAGAGCTAATAATGCTTATTTAAATTTATAATATATAGATGCTACATGATTACTACAAATGTTGCAACGTTTATAGTGATCTTCTAAAATGTTTATTTTATAAATTTGAATATATATATGTGTGTGTGTGAAAAGTGTATATAAATATAAATAAATATATATATATAATTATTTATATATTATATGCGCGGTACTTATTAGAAAGCGCTCAATATCAGAGATAGAGCTAACATATTTGGTTGGATAGATGTGAGTTTGTGACCCTGGGTTTCACGCTTTAGCGATCTTTTGTCTGACGATCGCTAAAGCGAGAAACCAGGGTCTAAACTCCTCTCACTATATATATATATATATATATATATATATATATATGTGTATGTATGTGTGTGTGTGTGTGTGTGTGTGTGTGTGTGTGTGTGTGTGTGTGTGTGTGTGTGTGTGTGTGTGTGTGTGTGTGTGTGTGTACCAGGTCCTGTTGTGTTTAAGATAATGACTCGGAACTGTTAATGCAACGGATAATGACTCGGAACTGTTAATCGGAGTGCCGAGATCAAACTCCATCATAGGCGTCTGGATGCCATCTCCTGCGGTGAATGATTTAATAGCAGCAGTTTATTTTGTATAATAATACCTTGTATATTTTTTTATCCTACCTTGCATTAGGATGTTGTACATTATTTTGGGATTATCCGCTAATAGTTGGAATGTTCATAGTATATTTTGGTTGATAAGCGCACGAACTGCACTGAGTTTCGGCAAGTCACAGGTCAACCTGTGAGAGAGCGTGGTGCCTGTGTTTCTCCCGATTTTTCTCTTTCTTTTCTATTTCTTTCTTTTTTTTTCATTTTCTTTTCATTTATTACCCTTCATTTCTTTTACTACATTTCTTTTTTCTTATTCTATTGTTTATCGTCGACTCATTTTCGTTTCTTTTCCCGTTTTTCTCTTTCTTTTTTGTACACTATTTACCTAACTACTGCAGAGGTAAAAAAAAAAAAAAAAGGAAGTTTAGTTAAAGGGAGATAACCGAGGCATGCGAAAGTGGCATAACAGGTGAAACTAGAAGAATCTACCCCGGTGGGCGAAATAAATGGTTCAGTTCAAAATTCTAAGCACCTGAAGAAGGCCGGAGCATAAAAACGTCGTGAATATGGCCACATAGATGAGGATAGCAGTCCGAACAATGTAAACAGTTTAAATAATTAAAATAACTCATCTCCGAAATATAGACACGTACCAATCTGTTCTTCTCTTTTCATCTTAATTCTTTTGAATTTCTTCCTATTTTTCTATATCTTATATTCTTTTACTGTTTCGTTTTATTTTTTCTTTTCTTCTTCTTCTTTGCTTTTTGCCTACATTGCTTTATTTTACAGCTTTGATTTATTTTAGATTCTTCATTTTCATCACATTTTTCTTTCTCTTTATTCTCTTTATCATTGCAGTTTTTCCTTTTTTTCTATTCTTTTTTCCTTCTCTTAGATCCTTTAAATGTCTACCTTTTTTTTCCATTTTCTTCTTTTATTTATTGTCTTGTCTTTAACGTTGTCTTTTTCTTTTCTTACTCTTCCTTGCTTTCTTCTTACTTCCCTTTAATTCCTTCAATTTTTTTCTATTTATTTTCTTCTGGCTTTAATCTTTGACGTTTTGTGTTACACATCTTTTTCTCTTCTTCATACTTCCCTTTATTTTCTTCACTCATTTCTTTTTTGGTTTTATTTATTGTCGCATTAATATTTGTCTTATTTTCTTAATCTTCTTTTTAGTCCCCTTGAGTTTCTTCAAACCTAACGTTTTTTTTTTCCTCTATTTCTTTGCTTGTGTCTTTAAACTTTGCCTTTTTCTTTTCTTACACTTCATTTATTCTTTTTAGTATCTTTTATTTTCTTCATTTTTTTTCTATTTCTCTTTCTATTCCTTTTCTTCATTCTTTAATCTTTGACTTATTTCTTCCTCTTCATTTTTTCTTCTTCCTTGTTCCTTTTTTCATCTATTTCTTTTCTTGTGTCTTTAATATTTGCCTTTTCTTAATCTTTTTTCTTCTTCTTAGTTCCCTCCATTTTCTATTTCTTCTTTTATTCCTTTCCTTGTGTGTTTAATACTTGCCTTTTTATTTTCCCTAATCTTCTTTTTTCTTCCTCCTATTTGACTCAACTTCCTTCAATTTTTCTATTTCATTCATCTATTTCGTTCCTTGTGTCTTTAAACTTTGTTATTTCCTTTTTTAATCTTCTTTTTTCTTCTTCTTTGTTCTCTACATTTTGTTTTTCAGTTTCATCTATTTCTTCTCTTGTGTCATTAATATTTGTATTTTCTTTTCCTTACAGTCGTTTTTTTGCTTCTTCATTTTTTTCTTTCATTTTTGCATTTTTATTATCAGACCTTCAAGCGGAGGAAAATGAAATATTTTTATTTCGTTCCAAAACGCCAACGGGTCTGAGAAATTCCTTTCTTAGGTCATATCCAATTAGCGATAAACTGCTTGACAAATACCACGTGTTAAAAAGCCGAAGGTGTCATCTCAGTCGCTCATGATAAGGGCGATTAAAATTAATATTTTTGTTTTTTAAACAAGGTGTTCTTTCCCAAAACAAAGCCACGGATTGTCCACGCCCGACTAAAGACATCATTGGCTAAATAAGATCACATGACACACGAAGGAGGAGGAAAGATACCCGACCAGGACCTCATTGGCCGAGAGCGGTCACGTGACGCACGAGGAGAATCGGTCGACGCCCTTGTCAGAAGTGTAAGTGTAAGGAGCCGATACGAAGAAGCGGGGAAGCGGATACAGGACCCTCAGAGGCACAGTAAGGGAGTGGGAGTGAGAGTGAGTTACCGAAAATGGAAAATCCCTAACCAGAAATAAGAAGGGTGGATACGTATTTAGAATTATCGAAAAACCCCTGGCGCCGACAGACCCACCCCAGTTTTGACTGCGTCAATAAAAAACGAGACCCCAACCGACAGAAATCAGTTTGAGCAGCGGACGGCGAAAGAGTTCAACCGTGGACGACAAGCAGAGATGAGCGTCCAGTGATGAAACCGCGTCAAGATAGCTGACCAAGATTCACGCACACTTCTGAACTCTTCTTCAACCAAGAACATGTAGTTTGAAGAGCGACTTAGAATCAGACCACAGAAATAAGTTTTTTCGACTTTCGTCCAAAGACACACCGAAACACAAATTTCTTAGAGAGCAGACAACTTGAAGCCTTAAAGTTGCCTAGTAAAAGCGTCGTGCCGCAATCCACCGAACGGGTCGGGAAGTAGACATAGTCCTATGTACCGAGCAAATAGACATAAAAAGTTTGTTACCTTTTTCTTTGATACGTTGGACCTTGTGAGTTTTTTTTTATTTCCTTTTATACATAATTGTGTGTTATCACCCCCGTTGGACCCAACTTGCATTACGGCCCCAACCCCTGTTTGATCTCGTCTGTCTAAGATCAATTCACAACGTGGGTAGGCAGACTGGAGATCAGTGCAGTTACCCTGGTAACCAGGCGTTGGAAGCGGGTTGGGAACGACGAGGCTGGTATCAATCTAACCAAAGGGTTAGAACGTCACGTTTGGAGCAGCGAGGAGCGAACTGCTGACGCCGCGACAAAAGACGTCACAACTGGTGCTGTCCGTGACCAGGATATCAGAGCCTGGTGAGCACGTGACGTCACAATTGGCGCCGCGACCGGGATCGAACGACACAGTCGACGCTGCGACCGGGGGAACGACGTCACATTAGTTCTTTTCATTTACTTCACATTTTATATTTCACCCCAAGCAAGGCGGGAAGCCACTAGAACGCAAGGGGTTACAGAAAAATTCGAGCAAGATCAGATAGGAGTGATAAAAGAGAGTATGAGGAGAAGGGCAGTGGATAGATCAAGGCAACTGGAGATGTCGATTGACATTACACTTGAATAGTTGAAGATTATAGCTGACAGGGAAACAGGAATAGGGAAGGGAGTTCCACAGGCGAGAGGTGCGATACATGAAGCTATAGGAGTAGAAGAGACGGCTACATTTAGGAGTTTCGACAGTGAAGGGGTGAGAGCGGGATGCCAGCCTCGTATGGCGCTTGAACTCATGAAGTCTGGGAACCAGCGAATGCAGCTCCTCGGAGCAATTTCTATGAAAGTATTTGTAGAACAGGCAGTGGGAGGCGACGGCGCGTCTGTGAGAAAGTGACTGTAGACGAGATGCCAGAACAGGGCCAACTACATTTCATATCCGCCTCTGGAGCCTATCAAGAACCCCGAGGGAAACAGAAGGGGCACCAGACCATAAATGGCAGCAATACTCCATGCAAGGGCGAATCGTTGATTTGTAGATCTGGAGGATCGATTCCAGGGAGCCAACTTTCCTTGCGGTGGGGACTTTTATCGTTGCTTTTTATTTTCGCTATTCTTTTTTCTCGTTCTTATTTCCCTTCATTTTTGTTAATTTTTTTTCTATTTCTTCATCTGTTTTGTTGCGTGGTCTTTAATCTTTGATTTTTCTTATTTCTTAGTTCTCTTCATTTTCTTCAATCGTTTGTATTTCATCTTTGCCTTTTATTTTTCTTAGACTTCCTTTTGCTTTGTCTTGTTAGCCTTCTGTCTTAATTCCTTTCTATTTCTTATATCTTTCCTTGTGTTTTTAATCTTTGCCATTTCTTTTTCTTCCTCATTTTTTCATCTTCTTAGTTCCTTCATTTTCTTCATTCCCTCCTCCATTTCTTAATCTGTTTCGTTCCTTTGTCTTTAATCTTTCCCTTTGCTTTTCTTAATCTACTTTTTTCTTCTTCTTAATTCCCTTCATTTTCTTCGATTTTTCTATTTATTCTTTTATTTCTTTGCCTGTGTCTTTAAACTTTACCATTTTCTTTTCTTACTGTTTTTCTTCTCATTACTTCTGTTCATTTTCTTCAAATTTCTTATTCTATTCTATTTCTTGTTTCTTTAATCTTTGTCTTTTCTTTTCTTAATCTTCTTTTTCTTTTTCTTAGTTCCCTTGATTTTCCCCAATTATTTTCTTTTTCTTTTTCAACTCCTTTCCTTGTTTGTTTAATATTTGCCTTTTATTTTCCTTACCCTTCTTTATCGTCTTCCTATTTGACTCCATTTCCTTCAGTTTTTTCTTTCTCTTCTTTTTTCTTTTTCTTAGTTCTTTTCTTTTCCTTCACATCTTCCTATTTTTTCATTTACTTTTTTACATTATAACTTTTATTTTTCTCTCGTTACTTTTCTCTCTTCTGTCTCTTCCTGTTGATCACCTTTTAATATAATTCTTTGGCTTTCCTTTAGTTTCCTTTCTTGTGATGTCACTTTTATAGTAGGGACATGTAATCGCAGATACAACTGGAGTAATGCCGTTGAACAATACTGACCTTCAAATATCACACGAACAAAGAGTACTTGCTCGACAATACTCGCTTGAAAAATAATCCGTATAGTGATCCGAATAGAGAAAAAGTATAGTGAATAGAGTAGAGAATAGCGGTCCATATAGTATAGAGCAGGGCTTTTCAAACTTTTTGACTTGCGGACCACTTTATATTTCAGGCTTTACCTTAGGGACCCCCCTTATAAACGCTTATGAAATTTATACATAAATATTTGCTGAATACAGTGTAACCCGGATATAAGAGAGTTGTCGGGAAGTCTCTTATATCCGGGTTTCTCTTATATCCGGGTTTGGTCTCTATTATATACATTAACACAGGCTCTAATTTGAGACCAGATAAAATCTCTCTTATATCCGGGTTTCTCTTATATCCGGGTCACTTACATCCGGGTTACACTGTATAACATAATTTTGCATTAATGCAAAAAAAGCTGGTTTAAAGCTTACTTTAGACATAAGTGTTCAAATAAATTAATGTTGCATGTTGCTGCAAAATGTAACAAAATTAAATTTTGTTATATTAAAATATTAATTTTACATGTAAATGAAAACAGTAATAGTATTTAACAGATAGTTTTATTGTCAATTACACACACAGGATTTTTTAAAACACACTTAGTGAGAAGGATATGCTTTGCACAAACTGTCAATTCTTGGCGATATTACTGATAAACATACACGTAAGTCACTTTCTGTAGAAAGCCTGGATCTGTATTTGTTTTTCAGAATATCCTGTCCTTGCGGATCACAGTTTGAAAACCCCTGGTATAGAGAATAGAATAGAAATGCGATCTGAATTTTAACAGAGGATAGACTAGAAATAGCGATCGTTAGTCTTCAGCGACTTCCTACATATATGCGTTTCCTCTATGGTCTATCAATTTAATAATAGGATCGCCTGTGTTTGCTCGCTGGCGATCTAAAGTGTCGGCAGCGACATTTTATTCATATATAACACTTTTCCTTTCTCTTATTTCTTTTGTTTTCCTTCACAACTTTTTTTTCTCTTTTTTTTTCTTTTTCTTTTTTTTCCTCTTTGTTTTTCTTCATTTTCTACTTTTTTTTTGTTTTATATTTAATTTCTTTTTTTTTTTTTTTTTATTTGCTTTCACTGTCTTCACGTTTTCTTTCTTTTCCTTTATTTCTTATCTTATTTATCAGTTTTTTCTTTACTTATTTCTTTGATTTTCCTTTTTTTTCTTTCTCTCAGTTTCTTTTTCCTGCAGTTTTCTATCTTTCTTTACCCCTTCTTTCTCTCTTATTTTCGTCAATACGTTCCCTTTATTTCTTTCTTTCATTTTCTTCCTTGGTTTTACATTATAATTGTTTTCCCTTAAATTAGCAACATTCAAATCCATCACGATCTTCTTCAATCGTTCATTTTTTTCTCTCCATTCATTACCGCCTTCTATTGGGTTGGTGCATAATTATCAGGCGTTTTTAAATAATATTGATTATGAAAAAAAGAAACATAACAAAACAATTTTTATTAACAAATAACTCGCCTACAAAAACGCCTGATAATTATGCACCAACCCATTTTTTTTTCTTTTTGTCAAACTTAGTTTCTTTTCTCATTGACTTAGTTCTTTTCTTTATTTTCTCCAAGTTTTTTTTCTTTCTTTTCTTCTTTTCTCTTTGTTCACATTTTATTCCCTGTTGTTTCTTTTCTTCAAAACTTAATGTGTTCCATCTCGCTCGTACTTACATCGAG